CACGAACGATGATAGAAATGCGGCGGTTCACGAAAGTATTCGAACATTTATTATGGAAGAATTTTTATGTGTACGTGATATACGAATTGCGGATGTTTGTTCATTTGTGGAAAACTAAAAAGTGCAAAAATAACATGTAAAATATGAAACAGATTTCTTTAATCGTGATTCTCTTATAAAAATATAGAAATATATGTAAGACTGTTACACGTTGTATTTTAACCTATTAAAGATCTTTAAATTTCATGGTTACTTTCGACTAAATATACGTTGATTTAACATTAAATTTATTGTCATGTTCGTTGTGTGAATGAAATTTCAATATGTTTTATGCGTAATATATTCATAAAACGATCCTACGAGTAGTGTTCGAGTATTTTCACGAGTAATTACGATTCACTATTTAGTTGTTCACGGAAATCCAGAGAAAGAGAACGTAGCAATAAAATATAGACATTTAGTACTCTCGCGTAAAATAAGAAATTATTTTTATTTTCCAGACGAATCGACTTGTATCTTCGAGTGATTCAACTAACGATGCTCTGTCCACATTCAGGAAGCTTCTGCTCCCACAACCGTTGACATCTAATACTAATACTAATAAAATCGCAGAACTATTCAACTATCGCCCGGTGTCTGAGGCGAAAACGTATAATGTCTTGCCATCTCTTCTTTTACCATCTAATACTCCTACCAGTAATCCAACTACTGGTAATCCGACAAACAGTGCAAGTACAAATCACGTTTGAAAGCAGCGACGTGTAAAGTACGGTGTTATTAAAATTTAAGTTATCGATAGTTGAAGCATCACTAAATTATAGTGGCGAATATACATGTATCATAATTATATTGAATTTTATTCATCAATATACTTATAAATAGATTTGTAGAATAATTTTTGCTTTCACGAAATGTTTGAAGATGTAAAAATTTGCAGGATACATATTATGTGATAAAGTATAATACAAAATGCCAAAACGTGCATTGTAAAATAAATTAGTAGATAAACCTAAATTTCGCTTTTTCTTCAGTTCAAAATATCAATTTTCACAAGTACGGACTTGTAGTTAACAGGAGAACTAGCGAAAGCAATCTTTTTCAAATTTAATATATTGTATTTTTATTGAGTATTGATCATAGCGAATCATACACTTACAATTATAAGTATTTTCAGAAATTCAAATGATTCTTCGTACTATATACAAATATTATAAACTTTCCCTATTTCTCGCCTCTAGTGGAAATTTTATGCTTTAATCGTTCTGATAGTTCTGGTCTATCACGAGAAAAACTTCTTTTCAAATAATTGTACACGCTACGCTCGAAACACGCGATACAGACGTGCAAGCAAACGTTTGCGATTCAACATATATCTAGAAAAGATTCCAGTGTACTTCGTCTCTAACGTCTCTGATAGAAATTTTACGTTTTAATCGACGGTAGTTCTAGTGCTCTGCCCACGACTTCTCCACGTGAGAACTTCTTTTCAAATAGTTGTGCACATCGCGCGAAAGAGAAACAACGTGGAGCAATCGAGAGGAAGCTCGAAACACAAGGAACACACAGGCAAGCAAACGTTTCAGCTAGAAACCTAGAAAAGGTTCGCAGTGACTTGGCTAGACGAAGTTCGTTTGCCTAGTGAAAGCCGGCCCGGTAATAATTGAGTTTCAGGTTTAATCGTATAGTTTAGGTTCGGCTTGTTTGGCATGATTTAACCCAAATTAGAGGTTGCACTGTGCGCCAGATTACGCTGATCGCAAACCGGCTAACTAGATAACGGTGATAAGTATAACTTTGTTAAATCGCTGCGCTGTTATTTCCAACAATACAGAAATTCATCGACGTCGCAATTATTGGATAACAACGTTTACGGGCGAAAGCACAAAAATATCAAAGATTCATCGTACGGTTACGAAACTTGACGAGACTGAAGTATTTATAACATTGTAAATTATTCGCGATAACATTCGAATTTGTTGCAGAAACTGTTTGTACAAGTTCTGCAAAATATTTGGAAATTTCATTAGCATGAAACACCACTGTTGTGATTCATGTGTGTGGACTTTGAAGTAAATATTTAAATTACTCATATTTCTACTAAAAAAATGTTTTGTAATTTTTACGTATATACATTTTTCAGATATGTAAAAGAATTTATAAAAAGATGTAGTACTTTCCATAATATTTAGTACGTAAAATGGTTTATATTACTTTGATTGAAAATTTTATTTTTATTTACCTCTGCAGTATCAGTAAAAGGCTCGCATACACTTTACTCTCAATATTTCACTATAATATTAATTTCTGTATTTTAATAATTTACTTTGGTATTATCGCGAATACTTGACAATGTTATAAATACTACAATCTCGTCGAATTTTGTAAAATTATAAAATCCAAGCGGCAACGCAATGACGAGAGAACGTCAAAGCGAATTTGGTAATATAAATTGATTGAAAAAGATTCAATGGATTAACTCTATTTCTGATACGCGTAAATGTACAAAAATATACATTTCGTTATATATAGAATTGAACTTGACTTTGTGGCTTTACTATGCAACAATAGCAATATTCCAAACGTAGAAATTACGTTAATATTGATCAAAAGTATATGCTAATGTTACAAGATCCACGTAGTATTTCACATGCAGGACGTGTACTTGCTCAAACTTCCACCTAGTACTGTACGTTGAGCCACACAGAACAATTCAGCAAACCGATAGCAAATGGCAATCGTGGTTCAAAGTTGCATCAACGTGTCCCAGTTTCCATTATGTTATCGCGAATCGACGCGAAAAGGACAAGCTGTCGGCGGTGGAAAACTGTCAGGATGGAAAATAAATAGAACCGGCTCCTTATCTATGCATGGTTTTATTAAACACAAAAATCAAACTATTCGAGACAGACGAGAGAGAGAGAGAGAGAGAGAGAGAGAGAGAAGAAAAGAAATAGAAAATAGCTATTGTATTCAACGATCACGTGGCAGAGTAACACGGCAGCCATCAATGCCAACCGCCTTGCAGTGTTGGTCCGCAGCGGTTGTCCTTGCACAACTTATCCTTTCCTTGTCCTGTGTCGACGCGATCGCCAACGCAATGTCAATGAATACGCTTGTCCAGTGTAAAAACTCCTTAGAAAGGCTCCACTCGCGTGAACCAACTGTTCCTGGCCGCGTGACATCGGCTGGTCTCTCATAATCAATTCTGTTCCCCTTTTTACTTCTGCTGGGTCTCGACGAATGACGAGCGAGTAACCAAGCGTAATTATCTACGTATTGCGAGAATTATAGAGATAGCGATCGACCGTTATTGGCTCTAGTTCTACTTCATTCGATCATATAATTAGACATAGTATAAAAACATATCCACAGGGATTGGCCAAATTATCGGTTATGTTTGTTATACATATTATTAACCTTAACCTTCGCCCGGCGAATGTTGGATTCGTCGTTTCTATAGAGAATTGAATGCCACCACGTTGCATCATCCCCTGTTTGGGACGATAAGACAAAGAAGAGTGAGAATAATATTCGTCGAAACAATATTTCTAGAGTATTCGTAGAATAGTCACGAGACACATACCTCGCGAATGAAAATTAATAAGCATTAGGTATGTATTCATGCATCATAAATGGATTCGTTTTTTTCTTTAACGATTGTGCAACAATAGAAAACAAGAATCCACTGATAGAAGAATTAAAGTATTTAGAGTTAAGTATCTTTTTTTTTCTTTTTTTGTAAAAAATCTATCTAGTCAAGGAGTAACTTGTTTATCTTACACACGTTACTGTATAAATATTTACTTACTAAAGAATTCAATTATTTGCATCTTTGTATTCTTTAAATAGTTTCTCCAACATTCTTCGAAATGTAATTATAATAAAGAGAGACACGTGATTTTGTTGTACGAAATGCTTCAAAGTGATTAGTATTTTAGAATATGGAAAGTTATAAAGTTATTGCCATCTCCAATGTACAATATAATATTCCAACAGTTGTCAAATCGGACAAATTTTATTTGAAATACTTTCCCTTTATACTCGATTCTTTATACTATTGAAAATTGTATTGGGTAACGTGAAAGAAGTTAAGCGGAGCAAATCAAATAATCTTTTCGCTTTCATCCTTCGAACTCGCGACTACGAGCACGAGAGAATAGGCAGAGTGATTTACAAATGGTAGGGAGAAGGTTTCACCAGCAACGGGGATGCGCTTCCGGTGGGAACGGACCACGAGAGATCGGAAACTACGCTGGGTGAGACTGTTCCTGTTGATACGACAACGTTACTTAAGGGAGCCTCGTCGAGAGCGATCGTAGCTGCGGATGAAATCAAATTAACTGACGCCGAAGCGGAAGCCTTCGAGTTACCGGAAGTACTTGTCACCGTGCTCGAACTCGATGCCGAACCCTCGATCCTCGTTGACTCAGCGGCGTCTGTAAATAAATTTCGTTATATGGGAATTAAACGTGTGTAAATAGCATCGATGTCGAGGGATCTTGGTAATATAAATTGCTGTTGATCTTCCGATTACTTTTGAATTATGCATGAGACTCGTTTGGTAAGCTACTTGTAGATCGAAGCTTCAATTTGTTCGATGCTACATTTTAAATGATCTCGAGGAACTAGGATCTTTTTAATTTTGTATTGAGAAATAAAATACATCTCTGACTATTCGAATAGATGTTGAATGATAGATCCAATTTAAAAAAAAAAAATGAAAATTTTACTTTTTATATAATATAGACACACTTTTTAACAAAATACATGATACATACTGAAGATATTATACGAAATATTTTTGAAATATATATTGATTGTTTCAAGAGATATTATAATCATTATATGGATTATTTTGGATCCGTTCTTTATAATGATAGACGAAGACGAATGTAATAAAATATTCATTATTTCAAAATATTGTAATTTTACAAGACCGAAATATAACTGACAAGAACAATATGATATGTTCCAAAACAGACGTTCAATACAGAAAAAAAAAAAAAATGTGAAACATCTAAAAAAAAAAAAAAAAAAAAAAAACTGAACATTCATCACAAAATTAAAAAGTTAATAAAAAGTGGGATTGGTCAGTTTGGCTTCTGTCTCACCTGTCAACAAACCAGATTCGTCATCAATTCGTCCAGCACTTAGACTGCTGGTAACCGACACATTGGCGGCCGCACTGGAAGACAGGCTGACAGATTCAGCGGACGCAGAAGCATCAACAGTCACTGATTCAGGCGTGGAAGCATGAACGATAACCGGTACAGGTATTGGCGGAGCTGTTGGACCAGCGATGATTATGGGTCCGGTGGAGGGACCTATTACGGCGTTCGCTGACGCTATGCCTATTGTTTCTCCAATTACCGTGGTGTTCGTCGATGCTTCCGTGGCCGATGATTCTTCTGCGCTTTCGATTGCAACAGCCGCCTTCGCTGACGCAGCAACGGCGCCTTTCTTTGTTTCAGCTTCGGCTGACGCTGCGTTATTGGCGAGAGTTGCGGAATTGTCGGATGGTGCCACCAGCGTAACCGCGCCAGCCGTGGCTCCTTTAACGAGGACTGTATCTTCTGGCACGGCTGAGACTACGGTTACTTCTTTAAAAGAAGAAGACGAACGAATTCAACGTCAATAACACTGATTTATTTACCACAGCCTGTGTCGAGGATAATGCAATCCCTCATCATTGATCTCAGGATCATTACAAATTTTCTACGCGTTTTACACCTAGTAGTTTTTGGCAAGATTTTGACTAAGATAATGAAAAAGAAAGTCCTAAGAATAACAATAGAGAAAAACTAACGATTTCCAAAGTTATATAAGAACTGTGCCCACGTCGTATGACCATT